TCTTGAAAAATCTTCTTCTCAAGAACCACTGGACCAGAAAAGCTGAAACTTATGTGGAAGCATCCTTGGGTAGTGTAGATTCTAAATTGTTCAAACAGGACCCCCCGGGGTAGGGCGGGGCCACAATTGGTATTACAAGGAGGGGGGGGGGGGGATCTGGTAAAGAACAGCATGGCCAAAGTTACTCAGGTGAGCGATGTGGCCCATGGGCCTCTTGTTGTCCATTGTCATGCTTTTTTGCGGGTGTGAATAAACCTTTCACATTTTAAACTTTTTTTCATGAAACACTGGAACAATTTCAATCAAACTTGCCACAAAGTATCCTTTGGTAAAGGGGATTTAAATTTGTTCAAATGAAGGTCAATGCTCCCTCCGAGGGGAGATAATCAAGACAAGGCAAAAATTTGCTTGTATCATTCGTAGATATCTTCTGCTTAAGAACCACTGAGCCAGAAAAAATGAAAGCTTCCTGACACAGTGTAGATTCAAGTTTGTTCAAATTATGGCTGTCAGGGGTAGGGTGGGGCCACAGAAGAGGATGGAAATACATTGGAAGAAATCTTTTAAAATCTTCTATTCAAGAACAGCACAGACATATTTAGTATTGATATGGAAGCATCTTCAGGTAGTGTTAGATTCATGTTTGTTCAAATCATGACCCTGGGGGTAGGGTGATGCCACAATGGGTGACCAAAGTCTTACAAAGGAATATAAAGAAAAGAATTTAAAAAGGTCTTCCTTTCAAGAACAGCAAGGTGATGATTAGTCTCATTAAAATCCAAGCATCCTCAGGTAATGTAGATTTAAATTTGTTCTAATCATGCTCCCCTGAGGAGATTAGGGCCACAATTTGGGATCAAAGTTTTATGTAGGAGTAGGAAAAATATTTAAAAAATTGTTTGGAGGAAATGAAATTTATTATACAAACTTCCTTTAATTTATATCATTTACTCAGGAATTTATAGGGGGCAAGCTGTATAAATTTGATAATGATTAAAGAGTTTTCATGAAACATAAGGTTAGTGGTTCTCTTGTTCTAATTTACAAAGCTACCAGTATAATAAAAGGGAAGTTTGCCGGCTTCTTTTTATTTTATGTGTTAAGGCTGTTCTTAAATTTGTATGCACAAATATTGAAATCAAACTATAAAAATAATTCAATGTGTAAATTAGCGATAAAGTATTTAATTTTTCACCCTGGATCTGTAATGTATCGATCTTTTTTCCCTATGTTTACAGGAAGGTCTAGAGGACATTAAGTTAGCACATGCAGAACAGCTGACTCAGTTGAGACTGCCAGATAAAACAATTAAACTGAAATCCATCAACGAATCTCAGAGTGCGATCATCAGGAAACGCAAACTCAGGTAGTGGAGATGTTTTTGCTCACCTGAGCTACTGAATCAAGTTTTCTGAAGAAAGTTTGTTTGACTGTGAATAAGCCATAATGTCTAGTGAATGTTGTCTGACTTGATCAGCTATTTCTCTGGACCCACCAGGTCAATTTCAGTGTAGCAGAAAGCATACTCAAATAAAAGAGATTCAAATTTGTCTAAAGTGGAGAACCATTTTCACCTTCTTTGGAGAGATAATCAAATACTGTATACAGGGTTATTTTTGCCTCATGTTATTTTTGCCCTTTCTCACTTGCAAACAATTTCATCCCTTTTAAGTCTGCTCTGTCACAATTCTTTTAAAGAAGTTTTACTGTTTTTTTTTAATTCGCTCTGTCTTAAATTTGCCCACTTATGTCTTAGGGCAAAAGGGGTGAAAATTTCCCTATATACAGTATTGTATTTATCATACATGTAAATAAATATTTGTTAATATTTAGACCATTCAGCCAAAAAAGGCAAACTAAAAAATATAGACTAATTTAAGAACAACATATACAGAGGTCTGATTTGTCAGTGAGTATGCAAGCATCATTACATGCTGAGGACCAATATTGTTAGTCTGTCCACAGGGGCCAGTAACACACTATTCTTTATATACGTTATAACCATACATGTATATACAAAAAGGAAAAAGAAACCAATGTCAGCCTGAATTTACATGGGGACATAAGAAAAACTGCATATATTCAATAAAATCGCAGCCAATGCAATAATGGCTGGAATCATTCATCAGTAATGATTACTCATTAATAAAAATATAACCACTGTTGTTAATGAAGCCTTTAAGTTGTGTTTCACCAACATGATATCCTGCCATGCAAGTTGATCTAGTTTAATCATCTACAAAACTGCTCAAATCATCCACAAAACTGCTCAAATCATCCACAAAACTGCTCAAATCATCCACAAAACTGCTCAACACAGCATCTGAGATATAAGGATGTGATTGATCAAAAATGTTTTTTTCTTGAAGATTTTTGACCAATCACTTTGGCTGATAAAGATTAAAGTTTATATTGTGGTTGTAGCTGATATAAAGTATATATTGCTAATGTTACATTCAGTTGATCGTTTTCTTTATTGCCACATGGTGGGCATATTTGTTTCTTAAACTTATCTTGTTCTTATGTGAATGATATATTTGTTACACTTCAGTTGTATAAATTATATAAATAAATTATATTATAAATTAATAATATATTTTTATTCAGACAGAACAGTTTTGATGAATGTGACAAAGAGACTAAACTGAAGATAAAAGAAAACGATGTCAAACTAAAACCACTAAGAGACATAATAGCCTACTGTGTGTTGCCACCAAAAGGTATTACAATGAGATATGTTAAAATGTATTAAAATGAGATATAAGATAAAAGGTATTACAATGAGATATAGGATAAATTTAGTTGCTTCATTGTATGATGTTATGATTAATCCTTCAAAACTTTTAATTGGGGTTCTATCTTAATTACATGTATGTCATAAAGTTGTGTTTCTTTTTTAGATGAAAAAGATAGTATGTTGAACAGTCTCATACTGAATGCTCTGAACAGTTTATGGTGCCGTAACAAACTTCTCTCTGTACTACAGCGATGGAATTGGGATGGTAAATAATTCATTAATATTCAATTCAATATCATTTTTTTAACATAATTTTTTTCTTTGAATTATAAATGGGAATAGACTGGTATTAAGAGATGAGGTTTTTTTTTTGTTCAGGAGAAAAATTTCAGACAAAAGTGGAGAAAATGAAATTAGCTCAACACCTAAGTGAATTTGTGAAGTCAGTGACAGACGTTACACAGGATGATTTCAATAGTTGATGTTTAGTTTCTGGTAGATGGCTATTACTGGAACTATATACAACAAATTGATAGCAGAATGCAGGCATGTTGCATTAAATAGAAGATAATCATGATTAACATCACAGATAATCTATTTAAAACTACATGTATTACTGGTAATAAAATGGCTTCTCTTAACATTTTCAAACAGTTTACAGTAAAACTTGTTTATAGCAGACAGAATTAAAGCATGCACCTGTTAAGAACAAAGTCTAATAAATGTAAAATTAGCAAGATACATGTACATGTCCTTTATAATGAATTCACATATGAAGAAATGATTCTGACTTTTGCTAGGGTGATCACTATATCCAGGTTGTACTGTATATACACATTCTACTATGTATAGATAATATATATACTTGTAGTCTGTTAATGGACAAGGTCCTCAAGAACATGACTTTTTGACTGATATAAAAAATATAACAACTATCCTACAAAAAGGTTAAGTAACAGCATTTGCTCAGAAAGGAAATGTTCAACTCATCATTAGTCTTATTGTTGTTTTTTCTTATATACAGTCAAACCTTGTTATTTTGAATTTGATGGGACTGAGAAAAAATTCAAGATATCCAAGGGTTCGAGATATCAATGGTTAAATACTTAAGAAATACGTGGTTAGGACTTCCCAATCACTTCAACATATCCATGGTATTCAAGATATCTGTATTCGAGATACCGAAGTTCAACTTTACATTGAAAGTAATGATTAGAATTGCTGTCTGGCAATTTATTTTAGGGAAATAACAGGGTTTAACACAACCTAAGAAAGATGTCAATTCACTTTTCACAACTTGATCTGCATTGATGCCAAAGTTGAGGCATTTTTTTTCACTTTTTAATAAGGGTCTACCTAAGTGATCTGTTAGATAATAGTATGATCTGAAATTCTTTTTTCTTACCTAAACTCAGTTTAGCCATAACATGCAATGATTACTGGATTATTCTGTAGCTTATGAACTTTGAAAACTGTAAAAGTCAGATAAATTCTTCCATTGATATATGTGAGATGAGATTTAAAAGGACCTTATGCATATTTATGTATTAACTGGTGCTTATTTAAAACTGAAAGTATATACTTTGTGTGGATTTATATCTTCTCAGTTAATATATCTGTGATGTCATCAAAAAGTTGACATTTATGCAGGGTTAGTTTATGTTGTGCAAATTCATGTCACTAATTTATTTCATTTTTTGTGAAGCTTTACTCATGTTTTTTTTTTATTCTTTATGCCTAATAAAATTATTTAGAAACTCTATTTTCTTTGTGATAAGCATCAGAATGAAACAAGGATGAAGGCCAGCACCTTTTCTGCCCCAGAGTTTGAAGAATTGGAGAATATCGTTTTGGTTTGTTTGTGATCTGTTTGTTTGTTTTTAATTTAGACACATATTTTGCTTTAGAGTTGGCTTTATGATGCTGTCCTTTACAAACATTTTGATATTTTTATGAAGAACACATCGACAGATACCCACGGGTGATCTCGTCTTTTACTCATCACCCGCGGGCACACTGGCTGAGATATCGTTGTTAAATTTGCAAATTTGTCGATTTTAGACATCCAATCAGAGAGTTAAAACTCTTCCAGTTTGGAAAGTACGTTTATTTGTTTGCTATGATGAGTAAAAGACGAGATCACCAGTTGATATCCGACGATGTGAAGAACAATGCCCATTCCAGACGTTAACATCAGCTAGTTACTGTGTACCATTTCTCCCTTCAACATGTTCAAGGCTTCAATTTCTGTAAAACGGAGAAAGAACGTTCATCAAAATAAAAAATAATTACATTTATATTTACTACATGCAACCATAACCCAGACATTTAGTTCTGGAGTTCCCAGGCCCGTAGAACGCGGAGGTGTCCCCTACTTTTTTCTGAGTATAGTATTTCGTTATAGTAAATTTTCCTTTAGACACTGGTTCCCCCCCCCCTCTCCCCACACACACTTTTTGTTGCTGTAAAGTCATTTGGAACTTCCAGGATTTGGACAGTTAAAGTAGATTTTATAAGAGAAGTCCAATGTTCTTTGGAATGGTCTACAAAGGGTGATTTTATTTCAGGTGAAGTAGCTTTAAAACTTCCGCATAACAAACCTTCCCCGGGAAAGTAAACACCCCTTCGAATATTTGTTTAATAACAAATTTTCCTCCCGGACACTTTTCTGTAAAGTAATTTTTCCCCCAGGGAAAGTTTACTATACGGCAAACGTTCCCCATGCATAGAAAATCATCCTCCCGGATATTACTTCCCCTTTATTCTGAATAAGTGTTCAAAACACGAAATAAAGTATATTTTAACATGTTTATTTTGATTGTTTATGACAGTCAAAATTAATACATGAAAAAGATTCTAAGTCAATACTATTTACCTTCGTTCTGTCTAAAATATGGCGAAAGGGTATCCATGTGGATCATCGTCATAAAACTTTCATATTTACTGCTGCAAATTTTCTCTTATTTTGTCGAATAATTAGTTGTTATCTTGAAAAGAATTTGGTTCTGAGGTTTCTTAGAAATGTGCGAAGCTTAATTTAAAGGATGTATATTCAAATAAAAATATCAAAGGTTATTCTATAGAACTATGAAGTAAAAGTATATAAGGGTGGGGCTAAAACCATCAAAATTATTGCAATCTTTAAAAATCTTTTTCTTTACTCCTGGACATCAAGCAGTCAAAACTGTTGGCATGATTGTAATAAGCAATTAGCCCTCTAATAAAATTGTGAAATTCATGGCCCCCAGGTTCAGGGGTTCTAGCACTATAGGGCGGGGCTCTGTGAATATATAGTGAAAATGCATAAATTCTTAAAAAATCTTCTCTGCTCCTGGTTATTAAGCCGATAAACTAAGTACATAGTTATAATGAGGAAGAGTACCTCTTCCAAAATTAGGCCGATGAAATAAGTACATAGCTACGATGAGCTTCCAAAATTGTGAATTTCATGGTCCCTTGGTCAGGGGTTCTGGTGTTAGGGTGGGGCTCTATTGATTAGCAAATATTAATTAACAAAATTAGCAAAAAAATAAAATATTAATTAGCAAAAATGCATTAATGCTTTGAAAATTTTCTCTGGTCTTGCACGTTACAATAAGCAGGGGTATTTTTACCAGATTTTTGAAATTCTTGGGCAACATTGCTTCATCTATCAGTTAATTTTGTTTTATACTTCTATGGATCCTTTTCAGTGTTCTATTATTCTCGGGTGACTGTTAAGGCCCTTGGGCCTCTCGTTTGTATATAATAGTGATCACGTAAAATTAAGCATAGTATGTTACTGACCCCTGTGCATGTATGCTACACTAAACAAGAGGCCCAAGGACCTTGACAGTCACCTGAGTATAATACAACAATTTAAAGGATCCATAGAGTATAAAATAAACTGATAGATGAAGCTTTAATGCTCAAAAGCAAGAGAAATAGGATGATCAGGATCAACGAAATAATTAGTCTAGCATTCAGTAACTACTTATAAATTAGGTTTAATCTGTCCCCCATTTATCAATATCACCACCCTCACCATACACACTATTAACAAACTATTAGTGTTATTGTACTATTTTTTAACCCCATATTTTATCCTCTCACATTTGTCTTCTTGGTCTTTGAAGAACATTAAACAAGTTATTTTTGTCTCATTTTTATTTATCTATTATTTACAAATCTTCTTGATCATCAAAACTATAAAAGTACTTTTATACTATTATACAATAAAAATTCTTGCATACTAGTAATTCTCTTATTTTATTAACCTTTCAAATACATTATTTACAGTGATTAACTATCAAAAGTGAATAGCAAAGTGGAATAGCGTCTCTCAGCAGATTACAGATTAATAGAGCCCTGACCAGGACCAGAACACTTGACCAAATGGTCCTGATGTTCAAAAATCTGGCAAAAATACCCTTGCTTATTAAAACTTTTACTCTGCCTTCGATATTGTCAAAGAAATAATGCATTTTCACTACAGATTCAACACAGCCCTACCCTAATACCAGAACCCATGACCCAGGGTCATGAAATTCACAATTTCGGAAAAGATACCTTGATCATTATAACTATGCTCTTAGTTGAAGATTTTCAAAGAAGTAACACATTTTCACTATATTATCAATGCTCCCCCACCCCACACCCCCCGAGAAACACCAGAACCCCTGATCTTGGGACCACAAGTTTAAAAAATTTTGTAAGAGCAGCCTTGTTCATCATAAGTATGCACTTTGTTTATCTACTCAACACTAAAGAGCAGACAGGATTATTTTATAGAATTTATTACATTAAAGCATTTTCACTATATTATCAATAGAACCCCACCCTTATACCACAAAATCTTACCCAGGGGTCATGAAACTCACTATTCTGGAAGATGCACTCTTGCTCATTATAACAATACACTCAGTTTCTTTGCTTTATAACCAGGAGTAGATAAAAATATTTTCAAAGAAATTATGCTTTTTCACTATATAATCAAATAGACTCCCCCGTGTGGTGAAGTGGTTAGAGCGTTCGCTCTTGAAGAGGAGTTGATCCTTACGTCGCGGGTTCGAATCCCGCTCCGGTCCTTCGCATGAGACCGTATAAATCGAGGTCCCGTGTCGCAGGAGGTGCTGGCATGAAAAAGATCCCTCACTGCTCAATGGCCCTGAGTACCGAGTTTAGGTAAAACATTGCAGCTCTCCACCGGCAAGTGTTGCCGTCTCCATATGAGTGAAAAATTCTCGAGAGGGACGTTAAACAATAAACAAACAAACAAACAATATAATCAATAGATCCCCCTCCTTTTCACCAGAACCCCCGACCCTGGGGTCATGAATTTCAAGAATTTTCACGAGGAGAAATCCTTGCTTATCATAACCATGCACTTAGTTTATTTAAATACTACTCAGGAGCAAAGAAGAAGATTTTCAAAGAATTAATGCATTTTCTCAATATAATCAATAGAACCCCATCCTAACACCAGAACCCCTAATCCAGGGGTCATGAAATTCACAATTTTGGAAGAGACACCCTTGCTCATCATAACTATATACTTAGTTAGTTTGTTTAATATCCAGGAGAAGAGAAGATTTTCGAAGAAATAATGCACTTTCACTATATGATGTATACAACCCCGCCCTAGCACTAGGACCCTTGAGTCTGGGGCCATGAATTTCAAAATTTTGGTAGAGGGCTCAATGATTATTTAATTTAAACATATTTTATTGAATAAATCAATAAGGATTGGGAAACAGGCAAAGCCTATACATACCCTCTCCTTGTATAATAGGTCAAGTCAAAGACAATACATACCCTCTCCTTGTATAATAGGTCAAGTCAAAGACAATAAATAATAATTAGGGATGTCAACGAATATTCGAACATTCGAATATTCATTCAATGAGTTACTATTCGAATATGAATTTAAGATTCGAATATTCTGTGTTTTTCAGATTTCACAAAAAAGGTAATAAATTTTCATTAGAACAGTGATGGAATTATCCCCGTTTTATTGACTAGCGATCCCCTGATATCTTTCGCTACTTTCTTATCTTCTAGATCTTCTAAATTACCAGGGGTATTCAGTGGCGGATTTAAGGGGGGGTGGGCGCCGGGTCCCCACCCCCCCACCCCCAAAAAAAAAAAACTGTAGTTAGCGTAAATCATAGTTTCGTCAAGAAAATGTAAAAATGTCTACTTGGTAGACCTTATTTTTATCCTACAAAATCTCTAGAATCCAGGAGCTTCCGGGGGCTTCGCCCCTGGCCCCCATCAGGGCTTCGCCCTGGACCCACTGGGGGCCTCAAGGCGGCCCCCAGACCCCCTGCCTACTTTCTTCGTCTCCACCCCCAACTTCAATTCCTGGATCCGCGCCTGGTATTTCTTAATTTGAGTAAGGTACATGTATAAAAGAAATAAACAAGAATTATTAATGTATTATACAAAAAGTACTTTCAATAGTTTAATATGATCGGATCTAGAATCGAGGACAATGAAATAATACCCTTCTTGAATGTGTAAGAGACGTGAAGAGTTTAGTTATGAAAATAAATTTAATTGATCATTGAAATACATCTTTGATAGAATCAGCCTGTATATTGTAAAGGGCTCAATTTCAGAAAAATGCATCAATTACTAGTACTCGATTATTTCAGGGTGAATATATTCCTGAATTTTAAAATCATTATCGGGAAATTAATGACCTAGGAAAATTGTCTATGAAAGTGTTTGTTTATATTTTCAAAACATTGAATCAAAGATAATATTTTACGTGTACCTCTT